AAATGCATGAGTTCCTAAGTACGGTCCTAAAATACCAATGCAATCCTTAAAAATATGTGTAATGCAATAGTTAAATGTAATAGAAAAATGGGTTCCCTTTCATTAAGAGCTCGACTTTTGGGTGATTTACTCATGGTGGTTCAAAGCGGACTTCACTAACAAAACAATTCATATTATGTTTAGTGTTGCCAACCCCCTTGTCAATTCTCCAAACATGAAAAGCTCATTTTTCATCATTAAGGTCTCCAATGATTCCACATATTCCTTTCCTATGTAGTCACTTTGTACAATCCTTTACTTCTTCTTTTTTTAACTTCTCGGCTTTTCTCATTATGGGATGCCTTTTTAACAATGACGTAAATTTGAAATTTTCCTTGCTTATCATCTAGCCATGGTTAGCTAGCTTGCTTTGAAGTTCATAATGGCCCGGCTCATGGATAAGAATGATTGACCCAAGATCAGTAATACATCACAATTTTTTTCTATGTTTAAGATAAGAAAGTCCACTGAAAATATGAACTTGCTCACTTTAATGAGCATGTTCTCAATCACTCCTCGAGGGTACTGGATTGATCTGTTTGCCAAACGAAGGGAGATTGTAGTATCATTTAGCTCTCATAAATCTAATTTCCCATAGGCAGAAAGTGGCATTAGATTTATACTTGCTTCCGAATCATATAAAGCATTAAAAGTATGATTATTCCTATTGAGTAAGGTATCTTGGGACTTCCTTAATCCTTTAGTTTACTAGGTAGTTTGTATTGCAAGATAACACTGCATTCCTCATTTAGTGTAATGGTGTCAAATTCATAGAGCTTTTTTTTCTTCGACAACATTTCCTTCAAGAACTTTGCATAAATTAGTACTTGAGATATGGCCTCAAGTAATGGGATATTGACATGAAGTTTTCTGAAGATGTCTACAAATTTCACAAACTGTTCTTCGAGCTTTTTCTTTTGTGTTTTCACAAGCAAATCCTCAATTATTTCATTTTCTAAAACATTTATGGCCATTACTTGCTCTTTGGGATATGTCTCAATATTGCTTAGTAAGGTATCTGGTGCTTTACCTGATATTGTAAGTGCTATCTATTCCATTTGAGTTTCCAAGTTCTTGATTGCAACAAAAATGAGAAATGTGTGTGGGGATTCTCATCAATCCTATGATAAAATTGATGTCTATTCTGAAACAACTGGATGACATTGTTCTTTAATTGGGAGTTCGGCTACCCAAAGGAGGATAAATGATGCTAGATTGGCTCTGAAAAATTTGTGGAGTCGTAAAGTCCCCAACTAGAACCTTCCCTTCGTTGACCATTGCTTTGTTTACTCGAATAACTAGATTTGCATTAGCCATGTCTTGCTGTTATGCTTTGCTTACTTCTTTTTGCCTACAATGAAAAGTATATTCCATTTTCGAATCAGCTGGCATTAGTTCACCGTCTCTCAAATTTGGCATAAAATGCCAGAACGAANACCATTTTTCCGAAAGAAATGTAAAAGGTTGATAATTTAAAGGAAATACAAAATAAATTCTGCAAAATCCAAAATTTCTCTGTTCCTCCCACCCACCATTGCAGTTTTTGTGCAGGGCCCAGTTTCACATGTTCAAAAAATGTTTTCTTCACATAAATACAAGGCAAGGGAACCAAATATATCCTAGGTGCCAATATTTTGAAAGTGAATAGGCTCATTTTTTTGCATAATGTGTCTTATACAACAGACAATTTCTCAACATTTTCTTTTGTATTCACTGCACTCACATCAACTTCTATACATTCCAAGAACTCACCCTTAAAACCGATTCATAAGGATAAGGTGTCAAAGTACTTATAAACTCACAAAGTTGGCACTTCAAGGAAGACGTCGATATTGCCTCAATTTGAAAATTTGACTTGTAATATCTAGATGAGATTACAAAAGATCAAGTGACAGAATAATTTGTTATATGTTGTCATGTTGTGAAGGAAACTCAATGAGCCATTGCGCTATATACATATACGTCTTGTTACGTGCCAGTTAATGTGCATAGAACAAAAAGAAAAATCAGTTGATTGGCTTGAGAAATTTTCTTGAGCTGTATGTTTAAAATCAGTAAAACTAGTTTCAGTTTCATTCAATGCTTAGAAGCCATGGCAGAATTCTGTGATCTGCAAATCCATGTTAATTGTCAACGAACATTGTTCACCAATGAGGAAAGCCCACTTCTCCATCTAGTAGGTATTTTATGAAAAACTGTTACTTTCTTTAGTTCATACAAGATTCAATGGCTTCCTGTATCTATTGTAGAGAATTTTGTTAAAATTCTGTGGGAGGTTAAGAAAGATAATCAAACAAGAAAAGCAAAGAACTCAGATTAGGAACTCGAGAATTGAGATTAATGATTTTCTGGGAGGAGTCAATGGATTTGAACAAGCTATAAGATTCTGTTACAACAATGGCGCTGTCGAAATTACAGTGTCCAATATCTCTTTACTCCATTGTTGTGCAATTTTTCTTGGAATGACCGAAAATATATCTAATTTCAATCTGTTGCATCAGACTGAGGTTTTTCTTCAAAGGATTTTCTACTGGTCTTTGGAGTGATATTATGACTTGTCTCAAGAGTTGTGAACCATTCTTTTCCTATGCTGATTCAAATGGCCTAATCCAAAAGCTCTCGTGTTCACTTCTAGCCAAGATTGCACAGAAAACAGATGTCAATCTCCTCATTTCATCCTCGTCTTCTTCTTGCTCTTCTCCCTGATCAGCACCTTAAAGTCTCCAAATTCGTAGGAACTGCACAAAGTTTGCCAGATTATGCAAGGGGTTGCTATGATTAGAGTTTCGTGACGCCCATAGACCAAAAAGTGCAAAATGCTTCGATTTGATAGAGAGAGTTCGAGCGAAAGCAACATATCGAGTAAAATTATTCGCTGCCAGAACATATAAGTACACATATTTGTCCTTTTCTCTTCTTTTCTGATGCTGTAAATTTTCATAACTGTGAAGAATACTACAATTGTCAGACAGACAGGTACTAATTGTAATTATCTAAAAAATAATATTCGTTTTTAGTGGTGTTAGCTTATTAAAAAACACTCTATGTCTGTAATCTGTATATAATTAAACATCTCAACACACGGACAGGCCAATAGTTATCCAAATTTACATCTACTCACTGTACTTCAGTTGTCATTGAACTAAATTTGAGTAATGCTGGGGAACAGACAGAACCCCTAAAGAACACGTACAAACATGGTTGGGTGGGGTGAGGATTTTTGGGGTCATTTTTTAATAAGGTGGATCCCGCAGGGGCCCACATCATGTAAGGGGTCTATAAAACATCTGTAGGAATGACCCTATACATCCATCAAAATTCGTTAAATTTAGAGTTCTCTCTATTTTTGTCTAGTTTTCGTGTTCTTGAATCTAGCCCATGGCTTGTCTTTGTCGCCTAGTTTTATGATATTCTTTCAGTTAATTCATGCATTTATTGCCATACATCAATATTTATACAATTTTCATAACTCATCCTAATATTTTGTCTTGTCCATTGCAATGTAATGTGGATTGCAGTCTCATCCAGCTCTCTCATTAGAGGAACGATCAAGATTATGCAGATGTCTCAATTATGGAAAGCTGGGTTTAGAAGCATGTCAAAAAATCCAAGAGTACCTCCAAGAATTGCAGTGTCTGATTGATAATAGGATCTACTAAACATGAGCTATGTATAATTTCTTTTCTTTGGTTTGACTCGACCATTTGAGTAACTGTAACTTTCATCTACTTACACGTGTGACTTCTTGTTTGTGCTCCATTTTTAGCTAAAGTGTTGCCACAGCAACTTGGGTGGATTTGGATTACTTGGTTCTTCCTCTTACGGAACCAAGGATCTTTATGGTCCTTGTAGCCATATAGGTTTACAAGCTTTGTCACTAAAACTCGAGTCTCTAATGTTGAGTAGGTAGGCGACCCCGTAGAAAAAGATTGATGAAGCCAAGATAAAATTGGATATTTAAAATAAGAGTTTGTAAATGTTTTGTTGCGAAATGCATTCAACAAGACCACGGCAAATTTAAGATTGTATTATGACTCAAATAAATTTCACTATTAGATCTTTAAATGCACCTCAGGCACTCCAGTGCATATGTAATTCAACACTTCCCCACAACCCCACCCCCCAACAAATAAAATAAAATATCTCTGAGTGAACTGCTCTTATAATGCATCTGAAACTGTTTCATATTTATAAAAATCGAGCCCCAGCAAAAAGAATGCAGTTAAGAATGATGGATTTCTCTCAAAACACTATTGTATGAATAGCATTGTAATTTCAACATTTGGAACAACAGATGAAAAAGAAGCTCCTCCATATGTTAAATATGCTAAAAGGTGTATCAGTCAAAGAGTTTTCTGAAAGTGAACTATTCACCTATTAAATAATGGAAACAACGGGAACCATCCTTAAGGGTTAAAAGTACAGCCATGGAAGAAAGGAACAGGAACCAATAGTCTGCCTTTAATTTATATCAAAACAGACGTTACAGATAATTGAGGCTCCAGTATCATTTTTTCATCACCAAGAAAGTGGGTTTCTTTTTCTTTTTTTTTTCTTTTTTTTTTTCCCCTTATAAGATTCTACCAGAAACTCAAACATTTATACAGACTCTCGTTATCCAATTTCCAGTTCTATGCTGACAACTTAAATAATAACTATATCCCACAATTCCAACCTTGAGTAGAATACTGGGAAGTGATCCCAATATTTAAGTCACAATATCAAGGAGGCATCAGCTGCTGTTCTGAACTGGCTGTGATGTACATCTGCCCTCGGAGTCGTGGGACGTGGGAAACTTTCTTAAAGAACGGTACTGTAGTCGAACATTTTCTCCACTCTCAATAATCTTAAGCAAATACCTGCAAGAAATGCACTTAGTCACCTTTTAGGAGAAATTTATAAACTAATAAAGAAACCAATTTGTTTCCAGTGTAGATGTTTATTTGATGTACAGCAAACGAGAGTCAGAGATGGTTAAGAAAACATGAACTTTGTCATGAATACAACAGTGGCTATTGTAATCCCTGCAAGGTTTGTGATTAGCACGAAGTGAGGGGATGTATAGATACCAGCTTGCAAAAAAGGTGTTGTGATGTAGAAATCAGTAGCATCAGTCATTTTGCAGGTAACGTGGATGGAAAGAAATAGCAGAATTTTTTAGAAGGAACAGAGCAGCTATTTTGGACTGATGGGAAAATCAAAATTCCATGTTATGGAATTGGTCTATATGTGAACGAGATCGAAGAGTCTTCCTGTTTCACTAATTGTTCTCACTTGGAAACGAGTACTTTCTTCTCGAGTTTTAATTCAGTGGATTGAGAATATCTTATTCTCCACTAATTGTGATTGGAGTCTTTTGATTAAAAAAATGTTGTTTCTTAATATTAAAAAAAGCCATTTATTTAGCAATTATGCATTATAAAGGGCCAACTACCACAATGGAAATTGGAGAGCTACTCAAAATCTGGGGAAAATTGTGAACAATGATATAAGAGTTTTGATGCCAAGTTTCAAACAGGCTTTATTTTACACCAAGCAGATACAAAGAGATAATTCTGAAAGTTGTAATAAAAAAGGGCCAAGCAAAACACACCCAACAAAAAGGGTTATAGTTACAATAGATTATGATACAATTAAAACTAACAATCAGGTGAGACCAAATATCTGAATAAATTATACGTAATATCTATTTATACCTAACAACTTTTTAAATATAAAGCATTGGCTTGGTATCGTATGATGATTAAACAAGCATCTCATCCCAAGTGAAGACGAAAGTTATTTTGCCTTTTAAGAATTCAAAGTTTCATCATCAAGCTAGCATGTAGACCTGACATTACTTGTTCGTAAATTTGGCTAGCATTTGTATGCCATACCACCACACCGGTTTCCCATAAGCAAAACCAGACTCAATATACATGATTCAATAGAGATAAAGTAACTTGAGATTCTCGTGTATTATGCAAGCACAAAAGTTAATTAGCTGAACTGATGTATACTTTAACATCATAATGTTTAGGCAACTAACCAGCCATTAAGACACACTGATGTTATTACTGCTTCCTTGCCAACAAATTTATCAGGTGTCCTCCTGTTTCCCTGCATAATTTTCTCAACATTTACCATTGCAATGAATAGCATGGAACTGGATAAAAATGACCGCAATGAGTTATGAATTACCCACCTTAATAAGAACCTTCTCATTCACTGAAAAAGGATATTGCACACCTTTATGTGACCCATTTTCAGACGGAACATCTCCATTTTCCTGCTGAGTTCAAAACCCAAAAGCATTCAATATTTAAGCAAGCTAAAGTGGAGCATTATGTTACTTCAATGCCAATATGCGTCGTGTGGGTTTTGACATTTGTGTCAAGAAAAGAAGCAGCAAAATTTTGCAGCATTTCTCAATTGAACTACCAACATATGAAAGAATTAATATACAAAAGTTTGGTATATATTTTATATACTTGTACTATTCTGTTCTATGCAATATGTCCTGAACTGAAGATGTCTCATCGCTAGAATCTGTGCTACTAAATTCCTTTATGCTTGAGAACTAGTGTGTTCATGATTGTGGACCAAAAGTTATCATAAAGTAGGCAAGCTTTTCAAGTTTACCCTGTGGTCACTTGCTTCCTTCCTACGCTTCCGGAGAGCTGCGTTGTGAAATAGTCGTCGATCATCCTCTTGCTTCACTGTTGCAGCAGCAGCTCTCAGAGCTGTAGATAAAATCAGCATGACAACCATCAAAAGATGAAAAAAAGAAAAAAAAAAAAAAAGAGGAAAATATGAAGATTAACAAAAGAACCTAAGGAGAAGGTAAATGGACCTAGATGGGAGTGCTGAGAGGTGAGAGAGAGAAAGGTTACCATGATTAGCACTATTGTATGAATAGCATTGTAATTTCAACATTTGGAACAACAGATGAAAAAGAAGCTCCTCCATATGTTAAATATGCTAAAAGGTGTATCAGTCAAAGAGTTTTCTGAAAGTGAACTATTCACCTATTAAATAATGGAAACAACGGGAACCATCCTTAAGGGTTAAAAGTACAGCCATGGAAGAAAGGAACAGGAACCAATAGTCTGCCTTTAATTTATATCAAAACAGACGTTACAGATAATTGAGGCTCCAGTATCATTTTTTCATCACCAAGAAAGTGGGTTTCTTTTTCTTTTTTTTTTCTTTTTTTTTTTCCCCTTATAAGATTCTACCAGAAACTCAAACATTTATACAGACTCTCGTTATCCAATTTCCAGTTCTATGCTGACAACTTAAATAATAACTATATCCCACAATTCCAACCTTGAGTAGAATACTGGGAAGTGATCCCAATATTTAAGTCACAATATCAAGGAGGCATCAGCTGCTGTTCTGAACTGGCTGTGATGTACATCTGCCCTCGGAGTCGTGGGACGTGGGAAACTTTCTTAAAGAACGGTACTGTAGTCGAACATTTTCTCCACTCTCAATAATCTTAAGCAAATACCTGCAAGAAATGCACTTAGTCACCTTTTAGGAGAAATTTATAAACTAATAAAGAAACCAATTTGTTTCCAGTGTAGATGTTTATTTGATGTACAGCAAACGAGAGTCAGAGATGGTTAAGAAAACATGAACTTTGTCATGAATACAACAGTGGCTATTGTAATCCCTGCAAGGTTTGTGATTAGCACGAAGTGAGGGGATGTATAGATACCAGCTTGCAAAAAAGGTGTTGTGATGTAGAAATCAGTAGCATCAGTCATTTTGCAGGTAACGTGGATGGAAAGAAATAGCAGAATTTTTTAGAAGGAACAGAGCAGCTATTTTGGACTGATGGGAAAATCAAAATTCCATGTTATGGAATTGGTCTATATGTGAACGAGATCGAAGAGTCTTCCTGTTTCACTAATTGTTCTCACTTGGAAACGAGTACTTTCTTCTCGAGTTTTAATTCAGTGGATTGAGAATATCTTATTCTCCACTAATTGTGATTGGAGTCTTTTGATTAAAAAAATGTTGTTTCTTAATATTAAAAAAAGCCATTTATTTAGCAATTATGCATTATAAAGGGCCAACTACCACAATGGAAATTGGAGAGCTACTCAAAATCTGGGGAAAATTGTGAACAATGATATAAGAGTTTTGATGCCAAGTTTCAAACAGGCTTTATTTTACACCAAGCAGATACAAAGAGATAATTCTGAAAGTTGTAATAAAAAAGGGCCAAGCAAAACACACCCAACAAAAAGGGTTATAGTTACAATAGATTATGATACAATTAAAACTAACAATCAGGTGAGACCAAATATCTGAATAAATTATACGTAATATCTATTTATACCTAACAACTTTTTAAATATAAAGCATTGGCTTGGTATCGTATGATGATTAAACAAGCATCTCATCCCAAGTGAAGACGAAAGTTATTTTGCCTTTTAAGAATTCAAAGTTTCATCATCAAGCTAGCATGTAGACCTGACATTACTTGTTCGTAAATTTGGCTAGCATTTGTATGCCATACCACCACACCGGTTTCCCATAAGCAAAACCAGACTCAATATACATGATTCAATAGAGATAAAGTAACTTGAGATTCTCGTGTATTATGCAAGCACAAAAGTTAATTAGCTGAACTGATGTATACTTTAACATCATAATGTTTAGGCAACTAACCAGCCATTAAGACACACTGATGTTATTACTGCTTCCTTGCCAACAAATTTATCAGGTGTCCTCCTGTTTCCCTGCATAATTTTCTCAACATTTACCATGAATAGCATGGAACTGGATAAAAATGACCGCAATGAGTTATGAATTACCCACCTTAATAAGAACCTTCTCATTCACTGAAAAAGGATATTGCACACCTTTATGTGACCCATTTTCAGACGGAACATCTCCATTTTCCTGCTGAGTTCAAAACCCAAAAGCATTCAATATTTAAGCAAGCTAAAGTGGAGCATTATGTTACTTCAATGCCAATATGCGTCGTGTGGGTTTTGACATTTGTGTCAAGAAAAGAAGCAGCAAAATTTTGCAGCATTTCTCAATTGAACTACCAACATATGAAAGAATTAATATACAAAAGTTTGGTATATATTTTATATACTTGTACTATTCTGTTCTATGCAATATGTCCTGAACTGAAGATGTCTCATCGCTAGAATCTGTGCTACTAAATTCCTTTATGCTTGAGAACTAGTGTGTTCATGATTGTGGACCAAAAGTTATCATAAAGTAGGCAAGCTTTTCAAGTTTACCCTGTGGTCACTTGCTTCCTTCCTACGCTTCCGGAGAGCTGCGTTGTGAAATAGTCGTCGATCATCCTCTTGCTTCACTGTTGCAGCAGCAGCTCTCAGAGCTGTAGATAAAATCAGCATGACAACCATCAAAAGATGAAAAAAAGAAAAAAAAAAAAAAAGAGGAAAATATGAAGATTAACAAAAGAACCTAAGGAGAAGGTAAATGGACCTAGATGGGAGTGCTGAGAGGTGAGAGAGAGAAAGGTTACCATGATTAGGGATCAAAGACCCCACCTCAATTCCTGCATTGCATAGTGTACATTTTGACTGTGACAGAAACCATGATAATAGTTAGAATATTGCCTTTGCCATCTAGATGTTTACACATAACAGATAAAGAGAGAATCACATAAAATGATCATAATTATATGTCAAGTAATTTGCAGGTACGACTTTTTCACCTCATTTAGAATGCAAATAATTGAAAATATAAGAAATATCTACACTGACAACTCAAGCATATAAAAGTTCTATTACCAAGAACCAACTGTGTCAGGACCAAAACGCTTGCTCAAAAGAAACCGGTTGCCTAAATTTGCTTTCATTAAGCACAATTAAACTGCATTCCAGGCTATAGTTTGAACAGACAAAAACTCTGGGTACACCTAGCCTCTTATTCTCGTTTCCTTAATTCTCTTCCCTTTTGTACTTCTTCACCATGCTGAAACAATTGGTGGTAAATATAACAAGTACTCCACACCCATTCTGATGTTCCACGATGACACGGGTGATGCACCTTGAAGTGTACATAACATAGCATATTCCAGCCACATTTTTTAATATCATGCAATTGTAATTCAGGTACAGCATATTATAATTGTAATTCCACTAGTTTGTTGCTGGCACGTTGAAGCTGATGTCATCATAATGAAAAAGTCAGTTGATGATATGCTGCAAAGATCAGCATTTGCTCTCTCATTTTATTACACCAATTTATTATAGGGAATAAAGTATTGGAAATAATTGACATAATTTCCTCATGTTTTATTTCCTCTTTCACTTTCAGGTTCTTTATTTAATTGCTAATATAGATCTGAGATCTTCATTAAAGCCTTGTTCTTTGCCACATCCTATACAATAACACATTCAATTTCTCTGTGGCCACATCAGAATTTGAATAAAAGAGGGATGGTTACAATGGAAATTCATGTTACAGAGATTTTCCAGTATGTAAACTGAAGTTAGTCTAGGTTTTTGTTTTGAGAATCCGTAAGTTTGTGAAGTTCCTTCTGCAAACTTTTACATCAGCTAGCTGCAGTCTTAGAAACGACCTAGTTGCCTACTTCAGTTAGAAGATCAATGTAAAAAGCAAGTAGACAAACAATTAGCTACTGCCCACCCTTAACCATAACCAAACAACATGCATTATGTGATGTGTCATTGTCATACTTTAGATCCAAACTGATGCTTTACGATAGTCCAATTCCTTACTTTGAGTAAGCAACACTATCAAATGCTTTATTACCATGTGAAACCCATAAAAGAAAAAAAGGATACAAAATACAATAAAGATTGTTCTACTTACTGTTTCTATAACCCGTCTCAGCAGGAGACCACCAAATGAATGTCCACATGAAACGAGCATAGCATCTTCAAGGAATGCACCACTGAAACATCCTCAATCACGATTAAACATGATTTACTATTATAACATGAGAATAAGGAAAAAGAGGCAGTATCTATTGATTAATCAATTTCAATGAGGAACTAAGCAGTAAGGATTCACGAAAATGGGGAACTTGGAAATGAACAAAGAATAATGTCAGAAATCACATTATAAATTTAGAAGCCCTGTTTATGAGAACCAAAGAAGAATTTAGATTCGACCAGAGTTACAGTCCACAAGAAAGATCTTTAAGCCCCACCATATATAGTCATAAAGAAAATGTGAAGAAGAAACAATGTAAGAGAGATCTTTCAGCTCAGCAAAGGTAAATCATGTACATAGCATTCTTGGAAGCACTCATCAAATTATGCAAGTTTTCTAATAAAAGTAACCTACATCTGTTATTCTGAATACAAGAAACAATATACTTTTCCCTGCTCAAGGAATATGAACATGAAAAACACACTGGTTGCGCAACCAGCTCCTATTTTCTGTGTTTCCTTTTTCTTGTACATACACACATTCTCTTTGCTTCCCAAACCTCTAGTAAGTTATGGACAGAGTTCGAGAGGGTCAAATCCTAGATGATCCCATCTATGATCAAGTTGCGAAAACTTTTGGATATGTATCCTACACATCTGTATCTAATACTTTTATGCTTTACTATTAATAAATACTCCACCTTCTTAGCATTTTGATTAGAAAAGACTAGTTCAAACAACCTTGAAATCATCACTTCTTCCATTTTCATGGTTTTTAATTTTGCCGGCACTAAAGCTTAAAAAAAAAAACCCACAATGTCAAATGTCATACTGATCAAACAAATATGAACTTGATGTTATTACAAGTTTCTTGAATATGTCTTTACTAATATGTATTTTCAACGACACATTTTTACTATACGATAATGCATATCCGTTACATCTCCCAATCCTATCTGGCTATCCCTCATAGTAATTAATTTATGTCCGTAAATACTGAGAAAGTACTTTTTGAATTCCCAAAAGACCCCAATAGTTAACAACACACTATAATGCGATACAAATATATAATTATATATCTCAATAAAATTTATGGAATCGGACTTTGAAAAACCAATCAGGTTCATTATCGGTTAGATATGAGTGGAAACATAAAGATAAAAGAATTAACTAAAAATCGGACAAAATTGAAAAAATCAGTCAGCTTGAAACATAAAGAGCAAAAAAAAAAAAAACTGATCAAACTTACGATAATGGATCTGACAGAATTCTTCTCAGTGATGGTTCCCTATTCAGATTATCTCCAGACAACTGTTGATCCATCTGCAAAAGAAGACATCATCACACGCTGTAGTAAAATCATCCATCTTCATTTAGAAAAATAAGACAGGAAATGAAGGAATTTCGCATCTCAAAAAGAAAGTAAACCAATCCAAAGCTTCATATCTTAGAAAAGAAATATAAACCCATTGGAGTCTACCAACAGGAAAAATATTGCCAATAAACTCTTGTACGAATTACATGTGAAAAGGAACAGACATTTAAAGATTTAAAAGAAAAAAAATCCATTATCATGAGCATACGAGTAAAATCATTAAAGCAGACACAGGCACCAAACACCTTTCATTGGTCAAAATATCCAGCTTTCAATATATATGTAATGAAAGGAATCAAAGAGGATGAGATTGAGAACCACAGTAAATAATTTAGATAATAGTACAATTGGATGTAATTTACCATAATGGTGATAATCTCGTATGGTTAAGCCAGGCACAAAGTACTCCTATAATTTATGTTCTTATAAAAATTGTATTCTTTAGAGAGTTACTCCAGAAAAGTGCTTACATAAGCATTATCAGTCTTGTTGTGCAGTATATCTTCCTCAGCAGAAAGATCATCCATAAACTGGCTTACAGAGACTGGCACATAGCTCTGAGGAATTATGTGCCCAGCTGCTGCAATTGGAGAACAGTCCAATATGGCATTGCCCTGAGGCATGAGCCTGAATGCCAATAAAGTCCTAGGGGGAGAAAGTCAGCCTGTCAATTAAGTTACCCTTAATAGCGGAAGAAATTCATATCCTACAAGTCAAACCATACTTTGTGACAAGTACCCACCTTCCACCACTAGCAGCGCCTGAAGAATTATCGGGTGAAGCCCGATAAGAAGCAGCAGGCCGAAGGCCAGCAGTGGCATGGCTGAGAGCCTTCCCTGTGACCAGTAAGAGGTCCCCAGGGACCAAGCTACTATCCGCTAGGTACCAACGACCATTGGGGTCACAAACCTATTGGTCAAAAGAAGAACAGACAAATGATTCTTGGAACAGAATATTTATCCCAAAATATCAGAGTGTCCGAACCAATGGGTTTTGTGGGAAAAATTTGAAAAATTAAAACATATGAATCGGAACATACATGGTGAGAAACTAAGTAACTACTGATGATAACAAGCATGTAGAGATACCTGAAGACCGGGGGCATCTGATGAAATCAGCGTCAACAACCCTTTCTCTACTTCTCCGCTCACCGCAATCTTCCCTCCCCCAATAGCTCCTTTTCCATGTTGCGACGACATGTGAGAGTGCATAGAAACAAGCACCGATGAGGATGCCTCATTAGCAGGCAATGGGCTATCATCAAGCAAGTAGTTAAAAACACTGCAGGACACGACGTGTTCAATATACTCATCATCAAACAATAGAAATAATCAAACAGAAAGCCATCCTAACAATTTTTCAATGATAATAAGAAAAAGAAGGAAAAACCATTTTTACTGTTCTTACTCGCTTCGCAAACGAAGATGCCTTGCAATTGCACTTAAAGCAGCACGAGCTGCCTTTCCCATGCATCTAAAAACATCGGCCATGCATGGAGGAGATAAATCCACATCTTCTAAAGGCCTATCATGAGAAGAAATGAAAATATTGGAGATACGTAAACCAAAAATGAAAAAGCAGCAGCCATTTTAGAACAACGTGGATAAAAGGCACCAGTATGAAAGCAAAGATAAAACTACACAATGGTGTTCAAGCAGTAGTTGGCTGGGTCCTTTGATAGCGCACACTTTTGGGTCTTGGAGTCAAAGTATCTAAGCAGAAGACAAGGAAATTTTACCACATGCTCTGTTCTCTTTCTCACCTTAATGTTAAAAATTAGCAGAGTTACTTGTTATCTCTTCTCTGTTGGCTACACATACTTCCCCTCAGGAAGCCTTCAGCTAAAGTATATGGCTTGGGTTGCCTCTACTACATCTTTACAACCTACTACTTTTTATTTCTTGCTTCTTTATTGCCTACGAGTAACTTATCATGAAGTTAGAAATCAATCAAGTTGAGATTAAAGCAAATTATTCGGTCCATAAAAAATAATAGCATTGTTTTACAGGATTTTCCTCTGAAAGAAGTTTACGGCAGCAGTTCTTTAGGTGTTTAGTAGAAATGTCAGAATAAACACCTGGTATCCCATGCCTTGCTAGCGTATGAAGAATGAGCACATGGTACAACAATCAAAACATAAGACAACAATTATAAAATGTTGATATTCCTTACCACATTTCCAAATACTTTACCTCAAATATTTATTTTTCCATAACGTGAGAATGCGGGTTCATTATAAACAAAGTAATTCCACCATGAGTAGAATCCCAAAAATTACCTTCCAGCCCGGTACGTATAAACCCCTCGACCACCCTTACCACTCTGGGACCGAGTCCGAAAGTAGAACCGGGCAGCCTCAAGGGCACAGCGGATCAAAGCCATGTCATCAGTGCCGAGCTCAATAACGGCGGCGTTGTGCCTCATAAGGGAGCCCGACAAGGCCTCAACGGCCTTGATGTACGACCCAACGGGGGCCCCATCATAGGGCAATATGTCAGAGAGTCGAATCCTGGCTGGTCCATTGGAGTCTAGAGAAAAAAGGGACGGCGAAGGCAATTGTTGGGGTGACCTAACAGAAGGAGGAGCAGAACTGATATGATGGTTTTGATGTGAAGGAGCAACAGGAGCCGTCTGATGCTGATGCATCATCATCGTTATCATTGATCATTATTATTATTGTGTAGACAAATGGGTGTATGCATAGAAGAAGATTATTGGTAATATTATGTTTTTGGGGTTTGCAGAGGTTTAATTTGCTGCCATGTATCAGTCTAGCTGAGGGAGATGGAGAAGAGAGGACTGAGAGAAAATTTGCAGCGTTGGTCCTCAATCTTTAGTACCTGTAGATATTAATATCCAATTTGTCCATCTAAAATCAACAAAATTACGATTGAAAACCGACGTAACACATTTAATTATCCGAAGGGTGTTTGAGCCCCATTCTTATGAAGAAATGCATTTTAGAATAGCGGATTGATGAGAAATGTGTTATTGAAAAATAATTTTTTTTTTAATTTATGTGTAATATTATTTTAATAAATAATATGTAATTGAAAAGAAGAGAGAGAAAAATACATTTTAAAAAGAATGAGAATCAAACAAGATCCAAATTTTATCAACCGCCCCTATTTGGTTTAGCTAAAAACTCAAACTCGTGAAGTTGATAAAAATTGTGGATCACATGAAATTTATTGTTGAAAATGAATAGATAAAAAAAAATGATGAATTAGTAAATAATATTTGTGGATCATTTAAATAAAAAATGACTTGAATATTTATAAACAAATTACAAACATTTCACCTAGACTTGAAATAAACAGCATTGCTTAGCCCCTATTTGACAGAATTTTTTGGGAAAGAATGAATTTTTTGAAAGAATGTGTTGTTAAGAAAAAATTTTGAATTTAAACGAAAAATATTTTATTATGTGAATATATGATTAAAAAAAGTATATAAAAAAATGACTTATCATAGTGATGCTAGATTGTGTTAGTTTCACAAGATAATCTGAGGCCAAAGTTTCGTTAAAATGGAATATTATTTTCAAGATAAAAGGGCTAAGGCACGAAGTCCTCTTATAAGTTTGATGGTAGATGTTATTTGCCTACTGACTCCATTTCATTAGTATATTATCAGAACTAGTGCGGTTTTATAGTTACATATTTTTATAATAAATGAAAACATGAGATTTATTCATTATTTTCAAATTTTCCATGTTATATTTTCGTCCCATAGAAATGACACATCAATAAGATAATGAATTGTATATACATATATAGTCCCCGTTTGACAGCAATTTTCACCTCAAAAAATTAATTTTTTGACCGTTATTTCACTATTTCATTCGTAATTTTTTATTTCTTCACTCACAGGTGAAAAACCCATATTTTATTTAATGATCAAAAAATCAATTATCATAATCACTACTTAACAGGCCCATATGAAATTCAACACTGCTGTCTGCTGTTGAAGGTCATAATGTCATTTAGTTCAACGTTAATTTATTTGAAATATACTGAAAATTAAGAACCATAAAAGTAATTGAACTCATTGAGTTCATTTGATACTCCAACCGCTGTGAATCCATATGCAAGTATTTTAGTGTACCTGGAAATAAATTTATCAGAGACATCTGATCAAAAGAAATCAGGAGTAGAAACTTCAAAATACAAGATCAACGGGCTTGCTCCTAAACCCTGATTTCATTNNNNATATTCTGAATTATAGTTGCCAATCTATAGGAGAGGTCCCCATTTTCTCCAACAGCTGGTTTGTACGAGAAAAATGCCTGAGCATAGAGTTGAAATTCAAATTAGTAGCAACAAAACATCTTACCGATACCAAATTACTAAATATCCATAAATCCTAGAAATAATCAAAATCGACGGTTTTTCAGGCAATATGTGGAAGTTTGATTTCATAAATTCTGAGAAGACATAATATGCAACCAATATCAAAATAGGAGTCCATCAAGACACAAACCTGCATCCAAAGAAGCCCCTGTTTGCAGATAAACCGGAAGGATGTACTGCTTTGAGAACATGGTGCTTTGTCTCATCGACCAACCTGTACCACATCTTCATTTAGATGCATTAAACAATAAATAGCTAACTTCAATTTCGGAACATTTAATATTTACTTATATCTGTCAGTGATTCACGGACATGTACGCAATTCGAGTAAGATCTGCGATATGGGAGGGCAGGTCCAGTGGGGGAAATGGTGGAGGAGAGAGATAATAGAACATTGCAAAGTGGGAGCTCTAAGGTGAAGAGGGGGATGAGGGATGCTAAGCAGAGGGGAAATGAGGAGAGCATCTTCTGGACGTGGCAGCGGGCAGAGAGGGAATATGAACTTTATATTCGATACAAACATAAAGAATATAGTTAAATTACAAACTTTATTTCAGATCTTCACAGTGGATATGTTGCACTGACTACATAATTTTCAATAAAAAATTTCTAATACATAACCATATATGCACTAGCATATGGTACAGTTGTTTTCAAATTGAAATAGTAGTCGAAGAAGCTTTTAATTACATATTATCTTCCCCTTCTGTATTACAACACAACTTTTCAGTTTTAGCAAACTAATTCTTTATGTGCAACCCCTTTGTTCAGCTATCCAGAAGTTTCCTAGTGATTGGTGGATCAATCTTTATCAAGACGGTTGTTCCTCTATGTTTATTCTATAACGTGAATCTTGACCAAAATACTAAACTAGCATGATTCTTTGTCATGTTCTCCAGAGCATTCAGTACCCAAAAGGTACATGTTTATTTTTTATTTATTTATTTATTTATTTTTAATGATGAAGTGAAACAAAGTAAAGGAGTAAGTCCCCTGAATTTAGGAATGGATTTCATTATTTCAGGTGCTATCTTCGGGATTAAATTAGGTTGGGTGAAAATTGGGAAGCGTTACAAAGTCTCAGTCTCAAAGTCTGAGTCAAGCGTGTTTAGTGATGGAAAGTACCTGGCTTTTGCTTGGGCATAGTTTCCCCAAAGAAGAAAAATAACTCCTCTTTTCTTCTGTGAAATTGTTTCAATGACAGCATCAGTGAATAGTTCCCATCCCTTTTTTGCATGTGAATTTGCCTGATATTGCCTAACTGAAATATAAGTTACAAAGCAAGATAATATAATAGAGTCAAAGGTAAACATGAAAATAGAAGTCTCTCGTGTAAACTAAAAAACTTGAGAAGAAAATTAAGCTATAGGATCAATAATCGACCACCCAAGTTTATCTTTATGTGACTTGAGGAATCCTTTATCTCAAAATAAAATCCAGGAAACAAGAATCTTTGAAACTGCCATACTTACCATCCAACCTATGTTAACATCTCCAACTAAATTTGAAATTTTAGAGCCGCAGGAAAAGGCAACTTGTTGCCTCATTTAATCTTGTGAAAATATGGCACATCAAGAAAATATAACAAAGGAGTTAAAAGAAATCTGAAGTTCAGAGTATAAATGGAAAGAAATGAACATACCGGTGAGTACAGCATTTAGCAAGAGAACTCCCTGCAATATCACTGTATTAACATCAAGGAACTACTACTTGTGATAAACAGTATATTTTATATAGTTTAAAATTGATTCAGACATTTTCATCAACATAATCAAGCAAAGATACAACTAGCCCATCACAATTAGAAACAAGCAAACTAGAGATAACGATACAACCAGCATCCTTATTCAACCCTCTTTTGCACCCAGCACTAATTCGTCGGTACAAAAAAGATAAGATTTGATACAGTAGGAATGGCTTTCAACAAAGTGACGTGCAAAGATAAATAGAACTTCTTGCAGGCTGGGTGGTAGCAATTATAACCCTTCTTTGTTGGCAAAAAAATCTTTGAAAATACATTTTAGCATGCTAGAGTCAAGTTTCTATTAATATTATAACACTTCCAAAGAATTTAAGTGGGTTCAGGAGAAAGCATCAAAGTAAAAAATAAATACATAAATAAATAAAATTGACAACACACAGCCATTGAAGTTTTGTAGTTCAAGACTGGAATTCAAAGGAATGGTTAATGAGAAACAATAAGTATGGCTTTCCCAAGTATGATTTTGACAAGTTATTTTTGCATAACAAGGCTCAAATGCGATAGGTATTTACTTATCTTTGGGGGATAATTGAAAAGTTGGTCCCCAACTTACAAAGTTTAGCAACTTAGACTCGAATCTTTAAATTGAAGCATTATGATTATCAATCTTTAGTTATTGTTGTACAATTAATCCTTATACGCGGGAACCATCAATTTGACAGTTAAAATGACATGCAAGGCATGTGAGGCATTATTGTGAGGGTAAAACAGGGATCAAAATATATACAAACACCAGGAGATGGAACAATTACCTGTACAGCCCATTTTTCCAGATTCCCACTTGAGGGAATTGAACAGCCCAAATCTTGTTGAAGTTCCTTGTAAATGTTTACAAGACTTGAAGGGACCTTTACGCCATTGGGTACAGAGAAAGAGAGACCCATTGCCTGACCAGGTCCATGGTATGGGTCCTGTCACAATTTAAAACAGAGCATCATGTACTTTTGAACAATTAACCAATTCCAAATTCCTTAAGCTTGAGTTACATTGCAGTTCCTGTCCAAGAACTCACAAAGAAATTGCACAAGAGACATAACATTCGTAGATCGAAAAGATTGCATGAGAATGCAAGCTGAAAATTCGAAAAATTGGAACAAACATGAATATAATTTCTCCTCTAACCAGGAAAAAAAAAAATCAAAACCACAAAAGTGGAACAAAGTAGCTAAAATAGACGAGTATATATTCATCAAGACTTTTCATTTTTCTTATTAAATGTCAAACAGAAAAGAGTCCAGAACTTTGTGAGAATATTATTGATGAAAGACTAGCGACTAAAATTGCAAGGCTTTCATAACCGAGCCAAAGAGCGAGAAGCTTGGTGAAGCCTTTACTTCAATTTGATAGAGATTAATTTGTCTACTTCTTCGACCACTTGGTATTTAGATACTAGATATGGATTCCATATTTATTTGTATATGAGAGTCGAGAGGACATTTATAGTCAAGAAGATATACAATAAGGCTACACATGCGATAAAAGTAATTCATACAGGTGACAAATTATCACTAATCAATCTCCTGAATCCATCTAAATGTCAACTCAAAACTATAAGAAAAAAAGCAATTACAAAATGATGCACAAAATTACTCTAGTAATCGCTTTCCTGGATAAGAAAATAGCCAAAATCCAAGCAAATTCTGCATTCTTTTACTCCAAATCCCCCCCCCCCCCCACACACACACAAAACTTCCCGAAAAGCATTGTTCCATGTATTGGAGAGTGAAACTAGAATGTGGAGATATACACATCTTTAGATGGCAGCCCCAACAGAGGAGAAAAGAGCCAATCAATTGTCTAATACTACACTCTACGCACACCAAGTTCTTATTCCTATAATGGGTTCATCATAATCATATGGGGCCTAGGTCAACAACTGATGAATAAGTAAATAGAAAAAAAATCCAAAACTTGACCGGGCAGAAAATTTTCCCCCAAATTTCTTTCAAATGTCACCAAGTTATTTTTTAAAGGGGAAAAAAGGACAAATAAAGAAATAAGAAGACATTATAACCTTTGGAAGTGGATTTAGAGACTACATCTGAGCAGCGTTTAAGGTTCCTCTTGGATTTGGCAAGGGCTTTGTTGAATTCCATTTTTAATCTCTCCTCGGAGGTGAGGGTTGAGGCCGACAATGAAGAGGCATCCTTTGATGATGAAGACGACGGTGAAAGGGGAGGAGAAGAGTGTCTCTTAAGACGTTTTGCTGCTGGTTGTTTAAACAGGTCCATTAGGGTTCTTGAGGAAGAAGATGGACACCCTTTCATTTCAGCTTTCTCTGAACTGTTTTCTCAGAGTTTAAGCCCATCAATTTATTCCCTGGCGGGAACGACTGACCTTCTGCCCTCTTTTGGCGCTTCAAGTAATCTCTCAACTTAGGATGTTTGGATCCTCGTACGTTGCACTAAAATTTTAAATGTTTACTATATTAGTCCCTAAAATTAATGTTAAAATAATATTATCTAATATCAGTGTAACATTATTTGATATGTTCAATTAAAGTTAAAATTATATTATTTAAACATGTAATTATTACCACCTACTAAACAGCATTACTCTTGATTAAAGGTAAAATTTTATCATTCGAACTTGTAATTTCTACTATCTAAACTGATGTTAAACACCAATGAGACTGAATAGCATTGTTTATAATTTTATCTACTAAAACTAATGCAGAGGTTGACCGAGTGGAATCTACATGACCATACAACATAAAACAAATATTGATCGACATAGGAATAAAGTGAGCCAAATCACCCTTATCGTCCATGCCGTGACGGTAGAAGCCGAAGATAACAAATTTTTCAAGTACAATGAAACCACAATATGATTGGAGTAAACGGTACAAAATCGAGTTTTCCTTCCAAAGTGGCAGAAAATTGAAAAAAATAGGCAATTTAAAAGTACTACATAAGTTATATTTATAATGGAAAAATTCAAAATTTTACAACATTAAAACCATGCAAGACATTGCAATCAATGTCCGGCCAAAAGAAGGGTTAAACTAACTGCTGCTTTGTGGACTCCAATCTCTTCAACAAGCCTGTAATCTTGGATTGCATTCTCAACTTCATGTTGTAGTAATCACAATGTGAATTCTTTGATTCCTTAAGTTCTTCCAGTTTTTTCCTCTGCCTTTCTTCGGTCTCCTGCAAACACAGATCTGCTAGCTTCTCAGTGTACTCTTGTTCCAATTTCTCGGTTTTCATTCTGACCATATTCCGGATACTCTCTGCTTCCCTTCGTGCCTCATCAGCTCTGCCCTTGAACATCCTGGCTTCTGCTTCTTTAATGCGTACAAGACTTTCCAAGCTGTCAAAACCGTCTTTCTTTGCTGGCTTCACAGACCACTCATCTTCGATTATCTTGTCGTTCACGAGAGGAAATTTAATGTCATTCTGATGGAGATCGAATGGCATCAGCTCCTGTCGTCCACTAGAAGTGCTCGTATCGTGGAAGGAAGTTTTTGGAGCGCGAGAACTGGACAGTGGAAGAACAGAAGCATCTGTTCCGAGGGACGACTGATTAGTCAAATCTTTTGAAAGAATGTTTAAAGCACCAGAATCTAACAAGCCATCCGTATCTATCAAATAAAAAGCAAAAGAAGGATTTCATTTGGTGCTTCGCTAATATTAACAAGATGGGGAATATGGTCATTTCAAAAGAAATTCAGAGGGGAAAATTTTAGGAAATTTGAAAATTAATCAATACAAGATATGTGGAATGATTTTTAATAAATTCAAAATTTCAATTAAATGGCATGCCACATTTACAGCTTCCCAAGCAAGGCGTTAAAAGACTACCTATAAATATCGAATCATTCTTGCTTGGGGCTTTGACAGTGCCATTACTGTGTGCCAATGTCATACTCAACGTACACTGTCCACAAGTTTACAACATTGTCATATAATTCCATCTTGCATAGCTAAATATAATGGCTAAAGTTGAAATGTCATGATCCAACTTCAAAAATTTATATAGTCATTCATAGAAATGGGAGTACACCTAATATGTGTGTGTGAGAGAGAGAGAGTCTGGATTTAGTTTGAATATCTATTTCTTCCCAGTCATCAGTCTACTATAAGCTATGAAGATGTTGATCACAGACTGTGTTCTTATTTCATTTTGTCTCATCATTTTAATATTTGATCAATCAAACATCTTAATTCCAGAAGTTGCAACAAATTTTCCATTTACTCAATTTTCCACTCACCGCCTTTTGTGTAATTGAAATAGCATTGTTTGTCGTACATGACATTTATATCTGATTTTCAAGTGCCACAGAGAAATCCCTATTTTTTCATTTTAATGCAAATAATCATCTGGAGAATCTCATTAACTTACAAGGGATCATGCCATCATCTGGGAAACTGTAGAAATCTGGAAGTGATTTGATAAGGAAAAACATAATTGGTTCCTAATTAAATCTTTCCATAGGTGGACAAATTGATCATTCCATAGTTAGGAATCTTAGGATATTTAATTAGGTAAATTAAGGCAGATTTTCTGTTCTTCGAAGTTGGGAGATTATTTTACTTTTGTATATTATTTATTGTACCATAAATAGGCTGCAATAGTGTGTACAAATTAGCATTCAAGAAATACAGAAATCTGCAGAAACAAAAGAGATAAATGAGCATACACAATTGCAGTAAAGAATTTCCGAGAACAAGTTAAAGTGAAAGAGATCACATCTTTAGTTATGAAAAAAGTTTGCATAAGAAATTTGACAATTGCAAGGAACAACTAGTTCAGAGGATGAGCAAGAGAAGTTGGTTTGGATACTTACAGCTGAAAAACTGGAAAATGAAATTGCAGACATCTGAAGGAGTCATTATTTTGTTCTCGAGCTTGGTAAGCATCTCATTGGCCTTCACATGCAGCTCCTGGCCTTTGCGATCTTCACTTCCCCTAAAGATTTTCCTAACACAGTCACACTCTTTTATCATGGTTTCGGCATCCCAATCCTTGGCACAATTCATGAAAACATCCTTAATGAACCCAAACATTTCGGAAGCATGACCACATCCAGGGCAGTGAAACTGCATCTCAGTTGTCCTCGAAGGTCCCTTCACGCATGGACCTTGCTTTATGAAATTACTGCGAAGTGCACAGGCTGCATGGCACCAGTGAGAACAAAGGTCACAACCAACCCAACTGCAAGTGTTGTTGGCACAGTCAAAGGTCAAACATACAGGACACATGCATTCACTGCAGAATCCCTGTTTCGTTGAGCAAATTTTGCAGTCACAGTCATCGACAGGTAATAGCCTCTTGCAGTTTATGTTTCGGCACCTTTGAAGTAAGAATATATCCACCAATTCGGCTGTTGGAAGTTGGCTTTTGCCAGATAAGAAGCTTCCAAGCCCCATTTTAATTGCAACCAAAATTTCAAGTTGTTTTTTGTGGCACTTTGAGAGAGTCTCATTCGTAAAATCAGATCTTCTTTCAAGTCTTTTTTGGAGCCACAACAATTCATCTTTCCTCTCTGGCATATTAATGAGATTCTCTAAGTATTCCTTAGTAGATTCAACTGTTTCATCATTAAGCTCTTGAATTATCTGAGCCATTACTGGAATAGACTCCGATACAATTTCTCTAAGTATTTTCTCAGGCCTAGAAAGCTCACGAGCCCCACCTCCATCAACATTCTCCAAATCTCTTCGACCATCTGACCCTCGCCCTCCAAACTCACCTGACTGAGAATCTATCCTTGGCCGTGCTGGCAACTCAGATGGGAAAAAGGAATGATTGTCTGAGCTGGTAGTCTTATAAAGACTACTGTTACATGAGTCCTTATTGATCCTACCACCATCACCCAATCCAAAACCTCCACCACCAACTTCATGATTAGAAAATACAACAGTCCCATCCCCAATAGGCCTAAACCGGCTGTGAACCGATCCATTAGTACCTTCCCCACAGTTCCAAATCTGATCACACTCTCTCCGGTGACTCCCAACCGAGTACTCAAAATTCTCTGTTGAATTCCGAGTAAGCGAGCAGCTGGGATTGTGCGAAAAAGGGTGGGAATGAGAATATGACAGTGAGGCAGCTGTGTAATCATTAGAGTAAGTAGTCGTTGTATTGTTATAAGACGGCACCAGCGACATCACACTCCTACTTGGCCTCAGTCGATCTGGGAGATCACCATTTTGGATCCGGTTAGACCCAGCCAAAGAGAATGAAACCTCAGGTAACGCCAAAGAAAGGTTCAAAGACTCAACTTTCGGCTTCTTACCCACATTCTCTCCCTCAATCTTCTCATTATCAGCTTCCCTCTTAGACGAATTCCCTCTATTCTCATTCAACTGAAGAAAATCTCTCTCTACCCATAAGTTATTATTCATTTCTATTTGATCCTCAAATACCAATATCTCTTTTCCTTTATAAACACTGCCCAATTTTTCCAAAGAATTCAACAGATTTTTGCCCGAAAAATCTTTCTCAGACATTCCCAGTTTCGAATTCTCACAAAGGTAACTAAGCGTGAGCTCCTGTGAAACAGAATTCCCAGTTTTAACAGCGTTTTCATCGAAACCACCCATCATTTTCATTCTATTCTGTGAGTTTTCTGCAAGAAAATCAATACCGTTTTCTTGAAACTCAATCTTGTGATCTGGGCTCTCCTTGTTTTTCTCCTCATATGACTCATCTAAATAGTCTCTCTCTATCATAATCACCTTCTAGAATTAAAACAAAAACCAAAAGACTCTAAAGCACAAAGGAAATTGATAAAAAAAACTTACAGAAGAGAACTGAAAAACAAAAAGAGCAGCCGATAAAACTTCAGAGAATCTTGAGAGCTTTACAAAAAGTTAGAGCTGTTGCACGCCATAGCTTCTCTCTCCTCTGCCTTCTCTCTCTCTTCTCTGTGTGTTTGACAACGGGTGAATTCTTAAAAATCTACCTGCTTAAAACTTCAGTTTAAATTTTATTGCGAAAATCGGACAATACAACCAACTACCGTTAAGAATATCATCTTTTGTCGGATATATTTTTATGAAAAAATGAATTTTAAAATAATAAATCGATAGAGAATGTATGAATGAAAAATAAAAAAAATTTAATTTACGTGTAATATTATTGTAATGAAAAATATGTGATTAAAAAGAAAGATAAAAATGCATTTTGAGAAAAATGATAATCAAATGGGACCTTAATAATTAATTTAAAAAGATGAATTTCATAATTTTTTTAATTATATAATCTATCAATTTTTATCAAAACTTACTAAAGTGATTATTAATCAATGATTCATTAACATATCATTTTACACATTTTTAAAAACAAGTGATAGTAACAGAAAAGTTAAACATATTAATTTAAAGTGATTTTTCAATGAATCATTGGGTGGATAGCAAGTTAAATAATCAATTTTGGACAGCAATTCTCAACTCAATTAATTTAAATGTCAGTATATCATAGATCATATTAAATGGGTTATAATTCATTGTATTTTATTAAATCTATATTAATGTCATTAGTGCTATTATCAAAACTGATATTAAGCCCTATTTTTTACTCATTGTTTGAAAAATTAAATAATTTTAAATAATATTTTTTTGAGAATGTGTGATTAAAAAGTAAAAAAATAAAAAATCATTGGTTTTTGTGTAGATTTTTTTTAATGTATAGTGGAGAATGATACTGTAACAAACAATTTTAAATTTTAAAGAGTGTCAATAGGGACTAAACATCAACTATGTTAAACAACATTACTATTAGAGTCCATTTGATTGCAAATGTAAAAAAAGCAAACCAATTCCATGTAAATTGAAAAAGAAGAAATCACCAAAATCATAGAAATTCGATTTCTGCTCAATTAGTCAAAATCATGCTTTAAATGTTTGTATCGTGGAATTCGAACTTCACTTCTATTTTCGTATCAAACAATCAAGTAGTAGAAAATGAATTTTTCGAATGTAATATTTTCTATTTGATTGAAGCCAATCAAACAACCATTAAAGTAATTCATAGTCGAAGGGATTCAACATTTCAATTTAAAGGGTCCACTGGATGTTTTGTATGGAATGCTGTCACGCTTGACTTTCGATTCCTTCGCCGTCGTGAGTAACGGACAACGCGTTTGAAATAATACAAGGTTTTATTTTATTTTTTTATTTGACATTTAACTGAAAAAGAACAAGTCATCATTTTCATTCATTTGAATTTGTCAAATGGCTAATAAGACTAAGTTGAGTCTAGAAAGGCAATCATATCAATTATTGAAACCGTCCAAATGCTAATAGTGCAGAGTAAAGGACACTTTAAAATGATGACTTTAGGTTTGGTTCATTTCAAAAAATAGAATTAGCATGGACGGATTCAAAGACGGGCTGGACCGTGCTATAACCCGTTCTTTTGGTCCAAATGTCCATTAAAACAAAATTTAAGTAAACAAAATTTTATGTGCAATATTTTTTTTATACGTATTAGCCCGTATTGAATTTTTTCCTAGATCCGCCACTGAGAACAAGCATCTCGAGCCAAATTCTTAAAAAAATATATAGTTTTTAATTACACATTTTTCAATAAAATAATATTACACGTAGGTTAATTTTTTTTTTTTTTATTCACATATTTCTTATCAATACACTATTCAAAGATTCATTCTTATGAAAAGAATGAAGTTTAAACAAGAGCTAAAATTTAAACTAATGTTAACATATTTTATGTAGTGTAAAACTTTTCAACTATATATTTGATTAACTTTTATCAAAATCTTTTCAAAATCTTATAAAAATTTGATTTTTATCTGAACCAAAGATGAACAAAATTAAACATGAATTTTGTATATTATGAGTTGGATTCTTTCATTTGTTCTTCTCTATGTTTAGTTTTGCTGGTTTTCTACTAGAGATAAGTTGAAGTGGAAGTCTTATTTTTATTTCCTAATAATCATTTACAGCTTCAGCCATTGTTTGAGCCCCATTTTTTTTAAAAAAAATGCATTCTTAAACATTGTTTTAACGTCGTTTCAACCACATATTTGTCAATAAAATAATATTATACGTAAATTCAAGACCTTTCATTTGATCAAACATTTTCCATCAATACATTATTAAAAAATGTATTCCCCCCAAAAAAAAGGACTAAAACAAGGGTTCAATAGTATGTTGGCATTATTAAGTCCCTGTTTCGTTTTCATTTCTCAAAATTCATTTTTTTTTAAATTCATTTTCAATCATACATTTCATATAATACACAATATTTATCAATTTTTAAAAATATATTTTATCAACTTTTCTTAAATTCTACTAAAAATCTTATTTTAATCCAAACCAAACACGAGCTAAGTAGAATATTAATAAAGTTTTTGGATGGAGTGAGGTTCGCGACCACCAATAATGAAAAGTTGAGAATATGTACATAGAGAAAAAAGGATTGAAATGTAAAATATCCCAAATGCATGAGCATCAAATGTAAAATAAATATATTCATACTAAAAAAACGTTGTAACAACAATTAGAAAAATAGAATTTATTCAAAAATAATCATCACAAAGTGGCCCACAAGTACAAAACAAGTCGATTTGTAATTTCATGGGTCGAGTCTGCTAGGCTCATGAAAATTTCGAGTTTTGCTTGGTCTATATCTCATTTTAAAACGAGCTCGAAACGTTCATATTGTTTTTCTAGGATACATAAGATGTGACAGACAAGAATTATGTAGTTGAGTTGTGTATGAACTCCTAAACTAGACTCCTAGTGAGTTAGGACCCTCAGGGCCTGGGTCAAGTACCAATGGGATGGGCACATGGTGCTGTCTTTATAAAGGTGAATGGGACACCATGGGAATGGGTTGCGCCGTAGCGGTACCCACTGTCGGATCCACAGTGGGTTTTAGTGGATCACTTGACCCACCATTTTTTTTTTTTTTTTTTTTTTTTCCCCCTTTTTTTTTTTTTTTTTTTTTTTGAGTTTTCTAATAAATCAGATTTGAAGTCTTAGGAAATTATTTCTTTTTGATGATTTCTTTTGTATTTTCTTTTGAAATGAAATTGGGGATTCCTTAAGTGCTCCAAATTCTATCTTGTTTTGGCAATTTTATGGTAATGGATTTTTGCAGTGATTTTCGTCTTTGTTTGAACTGGAATGCAGTTGATAATATAACATTCAGAATTTGCTATGATTTTTGTTTTTTTTACTTGAATTGATTGTTTTCATTAATTGTGATAAAAATAATAATTTAAACATAAATATACTTTTTCTTTTGATGATCACAATGTTAATGAAAAGATTATTTGAGATGAAAATGATGTTAGAGATAAAAAAGATGACAAACTTGGTAATATTTTAGATAAATGTAAATTTGATTGTGCCCCACCAATTCAAAATATCTTCGTCTACCATGGGTGCACCTGCTTATAAAATTGAGTTGGCAAACAACCTCAGGGTAGCAAGGGTGACAAATGTGTTAATTGTTTGAGCACACACTAAACTTTGCATAACATCACGTTTCACTTACAGTCGCATGGAAGATCGAGAAATCAAGGTCTAATGGAAGATCAAGAAATCAAGGTCTAAGGACTAAAAAGTATTCATGCGATGTTTATGCTTCATCATAATTCAGGAAGATTGAACCATTATACCAATGGTAGATTGAAATCTTGTTTCTTATATACTATATGTATTAAAAAGTGCAATCTTTTACTTTTCATGTGATAGATTGGAATGATTTATTGATTCAATTCTTCTTTTAGGGTACGATCTAATCATTCCAGTGACTGGTGCAAGATTTCTGTTTCTAGATCTATAAAAATGCTCTATAGATTACTATGGGTATCATGAAAGTCACTTGAATTTCAAGTTCTTTCCCTGTTTTTTTCAACACTTGCTGCCTTGCTTCCAATGTTAATATTACACAATGCAAAAATTAATTTGCATGATTGTCTCTGGAATAATAATTAGTCTTGTCAAACTATTTGCTAAAAGTCTCTGTCACTTAAAGTTTATTTGGTTCAAGCTCTTTTAGTGCGTACCATTACTAGAGGTTAGGCATGGATTTAATGGGTTGACTGAAGATTTTGGTCAACTGTTATCAACATTACAATCTTCTTCCATACTATATCTAGAGCACTAATGGATTTTTTCTTTTTTTCAAAGGTATGAAGGCACTGTTTGGGATGACTTGGCTCGTGGTAAAGGCGTTTCTATCGCTGTGATTACAACTTTAAATATGCGAGAATGTACAATCTTTGACTCTTCTAACTTCATATCTAACGTTGACATACGTCTCATACGACGTTCTTAAGAATTTGTTGTGGCTTGTAGGTAGGAAGGAGATTGGCTTCAAAATATCATGGAAGGTGACGGGGTTGTTAAAATTTGTCCTATTTCCAAGGCTTGAAGCAAAGATGCGAGCTGAAGGGCAAATAATCTCATGAGACTTTATGTCCCCTGAAGATAGAGAATGGCTAGAGATGGATGTCAAAGATAGTCTGTTCTTAGCCAATGGAAATTATGAAATTCCTTTTTATGAGAAGGAAGACTTGATCGGTTAGTTCAGATAAAGACGTACGAAAGATTCGTGAATGTATCAAACTTCTGTACTTGACGAGAAAAATTAGCTTCAAATTTCATGTTTATATAATGAGAACTATGCATTTCCTTGTGAACTTTGTTTTTGTGTTTCATTGATGCTAACATTTCGATGTTTTGTGCTACAATTTGGTTGATGTTATTTGGTTCATTTTACTGCAAAGTTTGTGAATGGAAGATTTGATAGCAAATGGAACATGCAATTGAATTACACCACAAAATAAGTCCTCCCATCAAAATTATTATACCACAACACTTCATCAAAACAGCACAAAATCAACAAGAAATAGTATTTTTAAGCCTGCATAAATCACCACAAATTCAGAAGATTAAACCAGCACCATGTGTAAATGCTTTAGACTG